GTCCCAAACGGGGGCCGAACCTGCACCCCAGGCATGTGCCCTGACTCGGAATCAAATAGGTCGCTTCGTGAGACATGGCTCCACCACCTGAGCCACACCATTCAGGGCTATATCCCCTCCACTTTGGAATGTCTTCGGTTCACACCGAGGGCTATACCCCTGATTTGCAAATCGTATCTGCATTCATTTTGGAATATTTGTCAACACCCTGTTAATCTTGTCTTGTGTAAATGTTTATTATTGTATTACTCATCCAGAATTAAGAACTAAAGAGTAGAGGGGGGGAATTCTCCACTCCCCGACAGATACAAGCAACTCAAGCGTCCATCCACGGACGAATAAAGAAAACGTGATGCCCACACTGTGGACGAAAATAGGGCTTTGTGGGAAGTGGCCTTGCAGGGTGATCTGGCCGTCATTTCCCGATGGGGCAGGGCGCGGCGGGCCGCCGAGCCCAAGGCCTGTGACTTCTTCAGTGAAAGGTTTTACTTCCGCCCTGTCTGTTGCTCTTGTGCATCTAGGTCAACATGCCTTTGAAATACCAGAAGTAATACCTCTTGAAGTGGGAGTTACCCTCAAGAGAGCACGTGACCGTGTTAGCTATTGAACTCTATATGCTTAAAAATGGCTAAGATTGTCAATTTTGTATTGCGCTTTTTACCATTTTTTTTTAGAAGACCCTTCCTTCTAGCTCCAGCCAACTTAGTGGACCACATAGCCCCCTTTTCCACTGGGCCCCCCAGCCCACCGGAGCCGTGGACTTGGCCCCCAGACCCCAGGGCACCTGCACGTGCCCCCCAGCATCCCCTGCCAGACTCCCCACCCGCAGAGCCCTCCTGGGTGCCCCTCACTGGGCCGCGAAAACCTCACTGGCAGGCCCCTCGCCCCACTCCACACTCCCCTGCCGCCCCCTCCACTCCCTGCACCGTCCTGCTGAGGAAGGGAGCAGAGTTTGCCATCTCAGATTACGCTGCTTTGGGGATGTTCATTCCTTTAGGATGGTTGATTTTAAGAAACAGCAGACGTGAGAGGAGCTCTGGAAACCAAGTGGAAGTTGCTCTTTGTAACAGACATTCGCATCTTTCAGGACGCTTTCCTCACTGTACCTGGAAGAGGAGCGTATTTAAATTCCTAGAAACCTGTCAGTGGACGAGGCAGGAATTCCACCCACACAACCACCTGCTTCTTTTTGGCTGCGCCTCACCTCCCGTAATGGGCTCCCCACGCCCCAGCATCTTCCTGTGTCTCTAGCGGAAGCTGATGTTTAAGGGGATGGCTCCTGCCACCGTGAAGCGTCACTCCGTTGCCCCTGGGTCTCTCTCCCATGTCTAAGGAGGTATACATGTTATTAAACTTCCACCTGTTTTTTGCTGCTAACCTGTCTCATGTCAACGTGCTTATTAGCCCAGTCAGAACCTAGAAGATGTTAAAGAGGCGCGCGCCTCTGGGGAATGTGGAGTGCTTTGAGCTCAGGGCAGTTTCCGTTTCAGGCTCCAGAGAAATGCCTGCCCCTCCCTCTGCCTGGAAGAACTTGCATTAGGGGCTTGTCTATAAAAAGAGATTACCAGCTATAATCTCTTTGACCCACCTATTTGGCAGGGCAAACTTCTATTTACTAAACACCTGCTTTTGTCATTCTGCTATGACCCTGAGAAGCCCCCAAGGCACCTTGTCGGCCTGCGTTGGAAGGTCGTGTCCCTTTCTGTCTCTGAACCTCTTGGGGAGGGGGCTGGGGGGGTGTCTGCGGCTCGCATGTCTGTGGGGCTCCCATTCGTGTGGATGCATTAAACCTGGTCTTTTCTCTAGCTCATCTGTCTCAAGTCTATTTGATTATTGGACCAGACCGAAGAACCTTGAGGGTCAAGTTTCTTCCATCCCACGCTGTCCACATATGAAAAAATATATATGACGTCCCCCATAAAAACCCATAAAAAGACAGAGAAGGTTCAGAGAGATTGTATTATGAAAAGGTTTTAAAGTCATAAGCTCACTCAGCTCTGTGCACATGCAGGCGCTTCATCCCCAGTGCAGAGTGCGGCCCCCAGGCCCAGAGCCTTGTGTGCGGCTCTGAGGCACTGACCCTCCGCCGCCCCCTTCCCTTCACCTGCTCAACACCCCTCCCGAGGCCGATTACCCCGGAAACCTGGGGTTTGACCCAGGAAGGTGGCCTCTGTGGCCCAGCCCTCTGCTGAGCTGCCCCGCTGGGCCAGCAGCCCGTCTGCAGTCCTGCCCGTCCCGGCCACAGCCACCCTGCGGCCTCCTGGCTGGCGGCTGCCCAGGGGCTAGCCCCTCACCCTGCACTCCCTGGTCGGGCTCAGACGCAGTAACACAGTCCCGAGGGGCTCCGCAGAGGCATCCGGGACTCGTCACGCCAACACGACCACCTGAGCCTCCCTGCAGAAAGCCTTAGGCAGCGTTTTAACTGAGTGGGAATATCAGGTCGCTTGTCAGCAGGAATTTTATTTGCTGGAATAATGGAGTTTGATGCACTCGTTGCTGAATGTACAAGAAGCCTTTCACATGCGGTGCAGATCCATTCTTGGTAATGAAAGAAAAATGTTTTTCGTTTTAATGTTTATCTAAGTCATATATAAATGTAAAGTATCAAACAGATCCATGTTTGTTACAACAGAACAAACAGCAGGCCCCTTTTCCCTCTGCTTTCCCACCTCAGAAGCAATCACTCCCCCTCCCTTGGCTTTTTATTTCGATACTTACCAGTTTCTGCATCACACACTTGTTCACTTTTTAACTGTAAGCTCTGTGTGTGGCTCTACTGCGCTGAGATTCCGTCCCTGTTGCCTACTGTCGTGCAAGGAGGCGCCCCAGCCCCCCTGGACAGCGGCGGCCCTTTACCGACTTGACCCCAGGTCTGCTATCGGGCAGGCTGGGAGGGGACTCTAGGAGACCCCGCTGGGTGGCTGGCGGGGCGCGGGGGACCCACTCCCCAGGGTGGCTGTCACCTGGCTGACAAACCAGCTCCCCTCCATGTGGGCTTCTGCATAGGTTGCTGTAGCTTCCTTACAACATGGCAGCTGGTTGCCAAGTGACAGGAAGGAGCTGCCAGTTTTTTAAGGCCGGGCCTAGAAACCCGCCCACTGTCCCTCTGCACGTCCCAGCCGGTGGCATCCGCAGCCTGTCTAAATTCAAGGGGGAGATGTAGATTCCATTTCTATTCAGTTAATTCAGTTAGGAATTTACATATCTAAGGTGTACAACTTGGTGCTTTTTTAAAAGTTTTTATTTTTAGAGGGGAAGGGAGAAAGGGAGAGAAACATGGATGTTTTGATACACATATATACCATGAAATGATTACCATAATCAAGCTAATTCACACACCCATCACCTGCCTCGCAGTCACCACGTTCTCTCTGCGGGAGGAACACCTGAGATTTACCCTCCTGGCCGGCGGGGTAGCTCAGCTGGTTACAGCGCTGTCCCCACACACCAAGGTTGCAGGTGCAGTCCCTGGTCAGGGCATGTACAAACATCCACCAATGGATACACAAATAAAGGGAAAAACAAATCTCCCTCTCGACCCCTTCCTTTCTTTCTCTAAAAACCAATTAAAAAAGATCTGCCTCCTTAGCAAATTTCAAGCATACGACACAGCATTGTTAACCCCGCCACCAGGCTGCATGTTAGAGCCCCAGAACTTATTTTCCGACTGAAACCTTGTGCCCTTTGACCTGGCCTAATTCTTTTGCTCCTCCCCTGCCCCTGGGAACCGCAGTTCTGCTGCTTTCATTTTAGATTCCACGTATAGGAACACACGGAATTTGTCTTTCTGTGCTTGGGTTATGTCACTTAGCATAATATCCTCCAGTTGATCCATGTTGTCATGAATGGCAGGATGTCCTTTTTAAAGGTTTTAAAAAATTGGTATGAGAGAGAGGAGCAGGGAGAGAGGGGAGAGAGATGGAAACAGGAGACTCCGTGCCCCAGGAGTCCAGCCTCGCCCTGCGCCGCCTCCCACCCTCCCCTGGAGCGCTCCGGCTTGCCTCCTGCGGGGAGCCGTCCTGGCCGGCCACTTCGGTGCCCCGCCAGGCCAGCTGTCTGCACTTCCTGGCCAGCAGCTTCCTGCCTTGTGGCCCACCGCTGCCCCGGGCCTCTGGGGCCATCTCCCCAGGGACCTCCTCTCTTGCTGGGACCCGCCCACCCCCAGCTGTGCAGGCCCCGGAGCTATTGTTTGGTACCACGCCCTTGGGGACAGGCTGGGCCTCTCCTCGCTGGAACTGGGAGCAGGCGTCCGTTCCTCTCCGGGAGGGCAGGCTGCGGGACCGAAGGCCCGGGACCCTCCTCATGCAAACACCAGACCACCCGGCGCTCATCTCTCTTCTCTTCCAGACATTTGGTTCTAGAGGCCCTGGGCACAGAGCAGCAAGGGGACGTCTTGGAAACGGCAGGACGGGCAGCCTGAAGGCCGCCTGAGGGTTAGAGGGGGAACAGGACACAGGTGCAGTCATGTGTCCTTTGTCCCCTCTGGCACTCAGCCCAGGGCTGAGTGGACAACGAACCACAGCCCACTGGTGACAGATAAAAGCAGCCATGCCCGGCCACTGTGAGGCTGTCCTGCAAGGCAGTGCGTTGAATTTTCCTTTGAAGAAAGTGCACTACAGCCAGACCAAATGGACTGGTCGACACCAGCCCCTGGGAACAGCACGGTGAACCCGGGCTCTTGGTCACCCTGGTTGTCATGCTGGTTTCTGGCAACTCCTGGGAAGCCCACCTTCGGTCCCCTGGTTTGCTGGGGAAGGAGTTCAGGCTGAGGTCAGGCCCGCTGGGAGAGGCTCCTATCCAGGGGCGTGGCCTCTCTGTCCCTGCGTCCCTGAGGGCGGTGGGACAGCGGATGTTAGGACGCCAGACAGGCGACTGGGTCAGGCCGAGCCACCGGGAGCCCACCCCCCGCTTCCATCTGGAAGGCCAGTCTGAAGGCCCCTCCCACGTCCGGCAGGCCCGGCCCTCGCTTTGTCCCCATGCTCCCTGGGTCGCCAGGGTGCGCGGCTGGGATCGAAGGCGCTGAGGTTCCCTCGGAACCAAGGGGTGGGGCCGGCAGGCTGAGAGGAAGTGGTGGGGGCAGGGATGGACACAGCCACCGCAGCAGGGGACCTGGGCTTGCGGCCTTGCATACAGACTACACTTCTCATCAGCCGGAATGAGGCACTGGCATCAATCTGCCATGTGGCCAGCCCTGTGAATCGTCCTGGAACTGACCTAAGTTTCCAGAAGGTGGTAACACCAGCTCTGCTGGAGGGGTGGAGCCCGAGCCAGGTACCTGGCCCTAGGCCCGAGGGGCACCCTGCCGCCCCGGCCTCCCAGCAGCGGGGCCCCATACACCAGACTGCCCTTCGCACTTGATTTTATTCCATGACAGTGATTTGCTGAAGAGCCCACTTCCGGCAGGGGAGGCAGCGGGGGGCCTGGCAGAGAGGGGCTGGCCTCCCAGGGGGGCCGGGCGCCGCTCTGCTGTGGGGAGCGCGGGCCGGGCCTCAGCCTTCCGGCCAGCCCCACCCTCTCCCCTCCAGTTCATTTAAAAACTGAGCTGCAAAAATAAAATAGAATGAAAAAATAAAAATAAAACCCTGAGTTATTAAAAACCAAATTAAAAATCCCCTTTGGTGCCAAAGGTCCTCTTCCGAAAGCTGGCTGGCAGGGCGGCGCCGGGTCATTGGCTTCAGTCCTCCCACTTGAGGTCACGGTCACGGTCACAGTCATGTTCCCCGTCGTCCTGCAGGCCCGCGACGGCCTCGGCGGCCGGCCGCTGGAGGAGGGCGCTGTACTTGAGGGCTGCGGCCTCGGCCTGCAGCACCACCTGCACCACGCTGAAGAAGGTGATGACCTGTGCCGGAGCAGAGCCCGCACAATGACCAGGCCCCGCCACGGACAGGGGCTGCCCGCGGACAGCAGGGCCCGGGGCCTGCGGTGCTCTCTGTCCAGCGGGGCCCCGGGACCACTTGCTCTGCCTCCTTAGGCCCCTGGTGACGGTGTGACAGCCGGGCCCACTTAAGTAACGAGACCACGAGGTCTTGGTGCCTGGGACACAGTGAGCACTCGCTGTTGGGGATGAAAGTGGGGTCTGGGCTGGCCTTTGGAGCATGTCATAGGTAAGAACAGCTGTATACAATTTTGTGGGCAAGAGGTCCATAGCTTTCATTGGATTCTCAAAAGGACCCCCAAAGTTAAGGACCCTGCTTTAAAGAGAGAGGCAGAGCCTCCCCACAGTGGGTGTCCCCAGGGAGGGAAGGTGGAGCCAGAAAGCTGGGGGCTGGCGGTGGGTGCTCCGGCGCCTGAGTGCCGGGGAGGCCGGGGGAGTGCCTCGCAGGGGCAGGAGGAGGGCTCCTCGAGAGCGGAGACGGGAGTGGGCAGGGACCCAGGGGTGCTCGGGAAAAGCGACCCCAGGCCGGGGTCTGACCTGCTGCACGGGCTCCTGCGCCGCGTCCTCAGGTTCCCAGGTGAGTGTGAGCACCGGCTTCTTGCCCACCTTCTGGAAGTCGTAGGACCGGAGTGGCAGGGTCTGGGGGTGCATACACCTGGGTCTCAGACCCTGGGCTCTGGCTGCCATCTCCTTACCTTTGACCCAGCAAAGCCCTGACACTTTGCAAAGCCCTGGGAAGCAGCCTCCTGCCTTAGCCCACCCGTGGCCTCAAGGGAGTTCCCTGCTCTGCCGCCCAGCCCGCAGCTGGCTGCCTGGCTGTCCCCACCCCACCCTCACCCCCAGCCAGCCTCAGGGAACCCTGCCAGGCCACCCGGGCTAAGGCAGCACAGGGCTGGGGGCTAGGCCGTGGCTGTGTGTCCTTCAGGGGAAGTGGTGGGTCTGTCCTGGCTCCTGAGGACCAGGCTGAAGGGGAACAGGCCCCCGAGGCTGGAGGGCTGCCGCCTGCTGCTGGCGCCGGGTCTGCGAGCCCCGCCCGCTGCCTGGGCGTCTGCGGAGATGCTCTAGACCCGAACTCCTGACCTGTTCAAGGAGCATCAGGACTTCAGGACCTCAGAACGGGACCCTGACCGGTTCTACCTATGCTCTGTTCTGTCTCTTCCATCCTACTCCGTTTTGTTCATACCATATTAATTCCACACTATGTGCTTTGGACGTTGGGAAATTTAAAGTCGGGGTAGGAGCCAGGTGGTGACCCACTACCTACAATGTAGGCTGACAAACACCTCTGTCAGGGGGTCATAGGCACAAAGCACCTGGAATGAATAGCCACCAGGGCAGAGGCTGGTCTTTTCCTTTTTTTTTAAGGGACATCACTTCCATAGTGTCCATGGACCATACTTTCTGCTTTTTCCTTTCTTTATGTTGCTATAAAAAAAAGCCTCGCGAAGCCTGCACGCCCTGCTGTCCTGCACCGGTTATGGAGGGACCTGCTTCTGGCTGCCCGGGTCCTTGGAGAAGAGGCCCAAACCTGACCCCAGGCCTTCACCCCCCATGCCAGGCAGGTGCATTTGGGTGTCTTGGCAGGGCCCATGGGTGGGCTTGGTGCTGGGTGGGGGCAGGGGTGAAGCCAAGGGCTCCACGCTGCCTTGTGCCAGCACCACCCACACCTGAGTAAGGGCACAGCATGTACCCCCCAGTGTGGGCAGGGACCGCAGGGTCCTCGGCCTGTGCTACCACCCTTCCTGCTTGTGTGTCCACTAAGGGCTGTCCCTGGGCCAGGACCCCAGCAGGTGCTGGGGACTATGAAGGCTCTGGCAGAGGGAACGGGCACAGGCAGTGGAAAACCGTGTGAGGGGACGCAGCCCGGGGCCTCTGAGCGCGGAGGGCACAGGACTCGTGCGCCCTCGGCACCCCCTTCCCAGTTGATGCGCTTCCGCAGCCCGCGGCTAGCCGTCGCCCGCCCAGGGGGCCCCTCGCTCCGGCCTGGGGGGCCCCGCGTACTCACACTGCAGTAGATGCGCTTCTGCACTCCGTAGCGCAGCACCAGCACGTCGAAGGCTTGGTTCAGGATCCCCATCACCATGGCCTCTGACTCCAGCGGGCCATTGTCCTGCAGGGCGGGGCTTCACCAAAGCTTGGCCACAGGACATGGCCTCCCCCCAGGGCCCACCCCGGCTGCTGATGGGCCCTGGGCTCCTCCAGGCCCCTTGTGAGCAGCTTCCCAGGAGGGGAGGTGGGGCAGAGGGAAGGGGAAGGGCGCCGGGATGGTGGCCTCACCCTGACCAGGAGAGCAAAGAAGAGGCCGGTGCTGAGCTCCTGCGCGCGCTTCGACGCCATGCGGCGGTCATTGCAGTGGTTAGCCTGCTTCTGTACCACACTGGGATCCACATCTGGCAGGGCCTTGTAGCCTGGAAAGAGGGTGCTGCCCTGTGTGCACCGGCCGCAGCTGGGTGATGGGGAGCGTCGTGCCCCCCGCCAGGCAGCGGGGCCCTGGGAGGCCCACACAGAGCCAAGGCCTCCTGCTGCCCCGCGCCCGCAAGCAGTGGGGCTGTGCTGGTTAGGGCCTCAAACCCCAGCCTCCCTTTATGATCGTTATTTTTTTAGATTTTATTTATTTACTTTTAGAGAGAGGAGAAGGGAGAGAGAAAGAGAGAGAGAAACATTGAAAGGAGAAAGAGAGGGAGAGAAACAGCAACTTGCAAGAGACAGATTGGTTGGTTGCTTCTTGCGTGTCCCCAGCAGGGGACCTGGCCCGCAGCCCAGGCCTGCGCCCCGACCAGGACCAAACCTGTGACTTTCTGGTTCGCAGGAGGACGTCTGACCCACTCAGCCACACTGGCAGGCTTTTTTGTTTTTAATGAGCCCTAATGCGGCTTCCCCTACGAGGACTCCCAGAGGGTGAGGTACAGTCCCAGGCTCCCTGCTGCTGGGGCTGCCCACCCCTTGGGGTTCCCACAGTCCCAGCAGTGAAGCCTCTGGGCACCCACTCCTGAGCTGCACCCCGAGCTGCACCCCTTACCGAGTGCGGCAGCCAGGAGCCGGTGCACCATGACATCGGCGAAGCGGCGGATGGGCGAGGTGAAGTGCGTGTAGAGCGGCACATTGAGGGCGTAGTGTCGGAATTGCGCCTTGTCCCGCAGCGCCCCTGAGCAGAAGTACAGGGCCACCTGTTTGGGGGGGGCGGGGTTTGACGCTCTCAGATCCTGGCCCGGCTGGGTGAGGCTGGGTCAGGGGCTCCACACCTTTTGTCCCCTGCACTTCACCTCGCGGCAGGCAAGGGACGCAGCGGCTCGCCAGCCTGCCAGCCTCTGCCCTGCTTGTCCCTGATAATCCGCCCTGGGGCCAAAACCCAGGTCTGAGTTCAAAAGGCCCTTCTGAAGGTCAGGGATTATGACTGGGGTGCAGAAAGGGACGCGGAGTCGCTCCAGGGCCCAGCAAAGAGCCGCAAGCTGGAACAGCCCTGTGGTGCCTGGAGCACCGGCCCCAGGCCCCGAAGCTGCCTGCCCTGCGCCTGAGCTCCCAGGCTGGGAATCAAGGATGCGCTGCTGCCCGGGAGCCAATGAACAGGGTCAGTGTCACGAGCCAAAGTCACACCCTGCGTGCTCACTCACTCGGCGCTCTGGGCCCCGCCCCCCACCCCCAGCGCACTCGCTCAGCCATGCAGCAGCCGGCTCCGGCTACTCCACTGTACGGATGCTCTGGGACCCTGGGACCCAGGGACCCAGGCTGGCGGGCCCCCGCTTGGCTCCCCAACCCTGCTCTTCCAGCTCCTGCGGAGCCCTGGGTTACATCACGGGCAAGTCACAGGGGAGGTGGCAGCTGCCTCCACCCTGAGCCACGCTGGGGCTTGTTCTCAGAGGCCCAGCTCCCCAGCTGGGGTGAGGAGGACCGGGGACCGTGGCTCCCTTCCTGGCCGGGGAATGTATCTCTAGGCAGCGTGGGATGGGTGAGGGCTGTGTTTCCCACAGGGACAGGCCCTCCCTGGGGCAGCCCTGGGGTCCTGTTTCGGCAGTTCACTCAGGACTTTCATGCTCACTGCTGCCACCCCTGCCTGGTCCCTGTCCTGCCATCAGATCCCAAGGCAAAGGCGGGCCCCGAAGGTCACTGGCAGGAAAGGCCAGGAGAAGCCCAGCCTTTTTCAGGCGCTGGGTGATTCCAGGGAAGGCTCCTTTCCATGGAGCTCCAGGGCTGCTTTGACCTTGGAGAGGGACGGCTTCTAGGGACAGGGAATGGGGAACCCATTGGCCCCGCATGGCCCAGCCAGGGGGCACTTCTTGGGACCTACGGACAGCTGGAGGGCGGAGTAATGTTGGGCCCAGCGGCCCCAGGCACGCCCAGCCTCCCCCTGTGGGTTTGAGGCGCCTGGAGTGAGGCGGACAATTAGGGTCGGGGCAGGGGCAGGGCAGCCAGCCCTGGACAGGCCCTGACGGCGCCATCCCTGGCAGAGCTACAAGACGCAGGAAGATAATCAGCTGTGGCCAGCTGGGGCGCTCTTCTTCTTTGAACAGAATGAACAGCACTCCGTGACCGAGCCCCTGAAAAACGCCTGCCACCGCCCCCAGCCAGGCTGCAGCCCGGGACCAGCCCCATCAACATCCGCCGCTCCTGCTGCCCTGCCAGTCCGCTGGGCCGGCGCCTTCCCGGGATGCTCGGGCTTGCAGGGGTTGAAGGTCCGCCTTGGAGGGCTGAGAGGCTGCCAGAGCAAGCCATCCCTTGCCGGAGGCTGCCAGCCCGTCATCCCACCGGCACGCAGGCCCACGGCCTAACTCCCCTTCTCCCGGCCGGAGAGGGGGAGAGCTCCCTACCTGGGGTCCACCCGCCACAGCGGGGGCTGAGGACCTTTCCCCTGTGTGACCGCTACGGAAAACGCTCTCTTCCCTCCCGGGTCCCCAGCTGGCCACGAGTTGCTGGCTGCCCCCATCCCCTTCCCCAGCCTGGTCTGGGCTGGTCTGTGGGGACTGGGCACCGAAGGCTTGGCGAGTGCCCTGGGGTGGCCCCCTGCCTTCCGCCAGCAAGCAGAGCCCCCAAGGCTGCGCAGGGGCAGCGGGGCCCCACTGGGCCCTCTGGCAGGCCCAGACCGTTGGTCCCGGAGCAGGTGAAGCAGGCGAGACTGAGTTGGAGGCAGCAGATCAGGCTCAGCCTGGGGCTCTTGTGTCCCAGGTGTTGCCTGAGGCATCTCCCCCACCCCTCCCCTCAGGTCCTCTGCACACAGAGGTCAGCGGTGCTCTGGGGAGAAGGGCGCGGATGGGGGGAAGGCCCCTCCTTACCTGCATAGGTCGGGAGCACATGTTGGTGAGCACCTCCTTCCGGGCCAGTGAGTACTTGTCATCTCCAAATATTTCGGTCAGACTTTTCTAGAAGCAAACCCATGTGACATGCAGTCAGGCTTGGGGAGAGGCTCTGGGGCCCGTTGCCCGCTGAGCCTCTGGAACCCGGCTCTAGGGAGGAAGGGCCCAGCCCTGCTCAGATGGCCAAGGGTTGCAGATGGCGGGCGCCCAGCCTGCGCCCCTCACTGGGCCTGCCTCAAGGGCAACGGCTCTGAGGCCAGACCTCTCCCGCACCGGCTGGCCTGGTAGGCTGGTTTCCAGCTGCCTAAGGCACCTCTCCACCCGCCCCGGCCTAGGGCTCACGGAGAGAGTCTCCCTCCTGGGGGAGCAGGGCCAAGGCCATGGCCCCCTGAGCTCCGTGCGGCTCAGCTCCAGGCAGGGAATGCCTGACTCCGGCTCACCACCAACAACATGCTCTGGCTCCCCATGACCCAGCCCACCCCTGGCTCCAGGACCCCCACCCGCGGCTGAGCCTCCAGTGGCTTCCCTCCTGGTCCTGGGGGTGAGCACGGCCCACAGCTGGGGACTCGGAGGCCTCCTCCTCAGGGCCTCCTCGCTCTCTCGTGAGGGAGTCCTGGTGGGAGGCAGACACCACTGCACCCCAACTTCTAGGCCTTCCTCCTCTTCCCCCAAACAGGGCTGCTCCCTGCCTCCCCCAGCTTCCCAGCTCCCAGCACTCACGTTGAGGGCTCCAGCGGAGCTGAAGTCCATGGGCAGCCCCATCTGGTCACAGAACTCCATGAGGTCATTGAGCATCTTGTTTTGGGGTGGGGGGTGCCGGCGCAGCAGCGCCCTCTCGGGGAAGGCGCGGTAGATTTTGTGGGCCACTGCCATGTTGGCCAGGAGCATGAACTCCTCCACGAGCCTGTGGGGGTGGGGAGGGACGGGTCAGGGGCCACCCATTCTCTCCATCCCAGGCTCCCTGCTGGCAGGCTTTCTTGTACCCTTAGTCTCAGCCGAGAGATGACCTCCCACCATCCCATCTAGATGGTTCCTCGAGATGCCTTCTCTCTCGCCCTCTGCTCACCCCTCACTGCACTACCAGGCTGCACGACTCCTCTCTGCAGAGTTAGTTTGTGTGCTGCCTCCCCTGCTGGATGGGGCTTCCAGGCAGCAGGCTTGGGGTCTGTCTTATTCTCTGTGGTCGCCCCAGGCTTCGCCCTGCCTGATGCACGGAAGGCGCTCAGTGAAGATCTCTGCTGAGTGGACCAGCCTCTCAGAGCTTGCAGAGGCACCCCAACCGTAAGAAAACAACATTCCCCGACAACCCAGAGGGCTTCCTGTTGCCAGGCGTGCCGGGCTCCCTTCCCCCCAGGAGAGGAGGTTTTCTGTGGCGTCCCAAACAGCAGGAGTGAAACCACACATCATGGGGTAAGGCCAGGGTGCTGTTGGGGTGTTCGAACCCCAGGCAGTCAATCTCTTAGAAACTAATGCTCTGGTTTTGCTTCATTGGTGCGTCATTAGAATCAACAATAAGTACGAGTGGACAAGGCTTGCCAAGGACCTGAGGGCCCAGAGGCAGGTGAATGTGCCGGAGCTGGGGAGTCAGGCGGAGCGGGAAGCTGGGTCTCAGAGGCCGGGGCCAGTCACCCCCTGCCCTACCCTGGGGCTCCATGGGTCACACACATGCACAAGAGCTGAGGCCTCTGTGCGTGCGCGTGTGTGGGGGTGTGGCTCAGGCACATTCTGGTGCCATGGGGTGGCCAGGGCTCCCTGAGCGGTGACGGTCTTGCCCAGAACAGGACAGACTCTCCCCTGCCTTAGTCTGAACCCCAGGCTGTGTGCCAAGCCTGTGCTTCTCCCACAAAGGCAGGAAAGGTCAGGGAGGAAGCTCCAGCAGGCTGGGTACAGCCTGCGGCCCGGCACAAACTTCCCTTCTTGGAGGTGTGGGTAGTGCCGCAGGTTAGCCCTGGCACCTCGCCAAGCTCTTGGGAAGAAAAGCAGCTGGTGGGGGTAGGGGAGGAGAGTGAGCATCAGTGTGTAGAGCCCCCCCTGTCCCCCAAGACTGGGCCCGCCTGGGCAGAAGTGTGGCTCTGGGCTCAGAGGACAGCACATCTACCTCTCCCAGCAGCCCTTGCTCCAAGCCCCACACTCCTAGCCCCTCCCCTTCAGGACTGCTTCGGACCGGCTCCCTGTGGGGCAGGATACAGCATGGGCCTCTGCCGGCCCATGCACCACACAGGAAGCCCAGAGCGGGGAGCAGAGTTTCTTCATTCCCATTAGGATGCCCTCAGGGCTTCTGAAGTGGCCATCCTGCCCCCGCCCCTCCCCCATCTGCTCCTGAGCACGTCACTTCCTGCTGAAAAACCCTTGAGTTCAAGCACCTGAGCCCACCCATCAACGATGAGGTTTGAATTGGTTCCACGTGCTCTTGCTGTAGGAGCCTGAACAAGTCACGGGCCTTTTCTGACCCTTTTTCTCAAACGTAGCAAAGGAACAATAGTAAACAGCACCTGCTTCACCGGGCTGCAGCGAGGACCCCTGGAACGAGGGCCGACCTGTGTCTGCCCCGCCCTCGGCCTTGGGACAGGAGGCTGCTTACCCCTCTCCCCACCCTCTGTGCCCTGGGGCCGCCCGGGGCCTCTCCGGAGTGCTCTGTGACCGTCACCTCTGCCGTCTCTGCCCCCTTCCCCGCCCTTCCCATGCCTTCCCGCAAAGCCAGGGCTGCTCTGTGGTCGCCTGTGTCGCAGCCTGGCGTCATCGAACTCTTCACAGCTGGCTTTCTTTTTAGATCCTGACAACCCAAGAGGAGCCCCAGTTCCCGTTCAGCAACTGTCTGACGTGATTCACTGCCTGCCCTCGGTCAGACGCCGCAGGCCATCGCCACCTCAGTGCTTCAGATGCACAGTCTTTCACTTGCGCGCTCCCTCAACAAACACGACTGTGTGCCGGCCGTTTTAGACTTGCCGCCCCGTGCAGCCCGGGAATCGCTGTGGGCAGGGGCGTGTGTTCCTCAGAGCCCCCAGTCTCCAGCGCTGCGGCAGGCCGGGGCGGAGACCCTGGGCTGCGTTTTGCCAGTGTGGCCAGCAGGGGGCAGCATGTCCCCACAGCAGGGCTGGGCCGGGCGGCAGGACCAAGTAACCAGGCTGAGCTGGGCAGCTTCTGCCTGTCCCCAAACCCTGCATGGTCGGAGGAACTGAATGCTTGGGCAGCCTCCCCAGGCGGAGCCATGCTCCTGCTCCCAGCTCCTGCCTCCCCTCTCGAGGTCTTAGCAGAAAAGCAACGGGGGAGGGAGGGCCAATGTCAGAGCCCCAAGCAGTGACAACAGATCCCAGTCAAGCAGCTTTTCCAGTGACCCCACTGTGTGCCATCCCCGGACACCCGGTATAGTGCTGCGAGTCATCTGAGGCTGGCGAGAGAAAAACAAGTGCGCTCTTACTGGCCTTGGCAGCCAAGGCTGGCGGAGCTCTGGATGCAGAGGCTGACCTTGGACAGGTCCCTTGGTACCTTTGGGAGGCTCTGATTCTTTCCACGGGTCCCAGCCCCATCCTTGCAACAGGGCACAGGAGTTAGGGGGCAGCCCATGGAATCCTTCCTGAATTAGTTTGCTGATATCAAGCATTCATTCCAGAAAAACGTCAATGTCACCAGACCAGGAAGCAAGGCAGCGATAAGCCTGGATTCTCTAAGGGCTGCCATGGACCATGGGGGTTTAGGACAGCCACAGGAGCCATTTCCCCAAAACCTGCCCTTGAAACCCTTCTTACAGCAGCAGGTGGGAGAGGGAGGAGTACAGGGAACCTGCCGACGTGGGGGCACGGTGTGCGCGCGCAGCCCTGGAGTGAGGGCCCTGGTGGCCAAGCCCCGGGGACAGTGGGAGGGGCACAGTGCAGCCGGACCTGGGTCCCCATGGGGCGCGGGGACAGGAAGGCCGAGGAGCAGCCAGGCAGCCCGCGGCCAGATTTCAGAGTTCAGGAGACACTTGGCCAGGCACCAGCAGAGGGAGGGCAGGGGTGGGTGTTGCAGCTCTCCTCTGGGACCCACCAAGGCCCCTCGCCACAGTCGGCAGGCCTTCTGGGTCGGCTTGCTGGAAGGACCAGCAGGGGGCCCCCAGCATCTTCCTTCCACCAGACCTGGGACGTGGCAGGCGCAGCTTAGAACCCAGGAACCTCTGGGCAAGGAAGAAGAGCCTTAGTTTACGAACTGCAGCCCAAGGTCCAGGGGTCTCTGGGCTCCTGTCCAGTGTTTCTCCCTTCACCAGAGGCAGAGGGCTGCACCCAGCCAGGGGCAGTGCACTGCAGGGTGCTGAGGGGGTCCGACGGCGACCCTGGGAGCAAGCACCCCTTCTCCCTGGTCGCCTTCCTCTTCTGGGGGAGAGTGTCCCGGCCCACAGCCTGGCCTCCGTTGGTGCCCCAAGCTGCTGTGCGTAGTTAGGACGCGCCTCTGAGAGCAAGCTGCACCCTGGGGTCTGGGGACCGAGTCGGGTGGAGCCCTACACGCGGCCCTGGCCTCAGACCTTGCTCCCCGATCGTAACCCTCCCCCCACCCACCCCCTCCCCGCGTGGCAGACCCATGAGATCACAGTGCTGCTGGGGAGGGGTGGGGGTAGGCAAGCAGGAGCTCGGCAACTGCCTGGCAGCTGCTCTAAATAGGGGCTTGGGAACGGCCGCCAGCCAGGATCACCTTCCAGAACAGCAAGCCAAGCCCTTGGAGACAAGGCCTCGGTCCCAGGCCTGGCATCTGCTGAGCACCTGGAGCCAGCGCCCCCGGGGGTCCACCGCTCTGGAGGTCTGGGGCGGGCTCTGCCGTGACAGACAGCTGAATGGCCAGCTGGGGTCCTGCCCTCACTCACGGCACCCCACCCACCTGTGCTCTGGGCCTCCAGGTGCTGGAGGGCAAGGCAGAGGGCAGGGGAGGGGCCCCTCCTTCCAGGGGGCAGCCGGGCCAGCCTGGAGCATCAGAGCCTCTCCCCTGCGATGGCAGACGGCAGGTAAGGCCACAAGCAACCCCCACACAAGTACATGCACTCCTCCCACAGCAAAGACGACTCGGGTCTAAGATGGCATTGCTCAAAAGGTATGACTGTCACTGGGAGAATAATGTATAAATGTACAGGAAGTGCTGGAGGTTATTTCATTGGACGTTTTTACTAGGAACACCCCTTCGCCTTTGAGACGCTAGCATCCATCATGGCTTCACAGGGAGGAGCTACTGGGCGCAGCATTTACTGTTCACTGATGACTGAACCTGTCTGTCGCATCTTAAAGGGCAGTGTTTAGGCAAGGCTGCTCCGCCTGCCCCGCAGGAACTGCGCCAACACGCCGCCCTGTCAGAGGAAGCCTGCCTGCCCCTGCCCGTCAGGGACCGGCCTGAGTGCCCCTCTGCTCGTCTGGAGGTGGTGGCTCTGTTCTGTGGCTGTGACCGCACGAGGCACTCTGGTTGGGCAGTGGGGCTGTCCCAGGGCGAGGCTCCTGCTCCTCAGCTCACCTGGCCCCACTTTCTCACTCAGGCTGTGCCGCCTGGAGAGGCAGGGAAGCTGGTTACCAGCACAGCAGCTCGCCTCCAATCCCAGCTTTGCCGCTCACCAGTTGTGCGATTTCAGATAAATTTCTTAACCTCTCTGAATCTGTTTTATTTACATGAAAAATGGGAATGCAATAATAAGTGCCTAGCCTTGATCAAATATTACATTATTATGATGCATCCTGCAGACGTGACTGAGCCAGGTGGCCCCAACCCCAGGTTTGGGCTGAGCATGGCAAGGTGCCTCGAGGCTTCCGTGGCCGCCCCCCCGCCACAGCGACACTCCCCAACCCCAGGTCCAGGCCCCCATCTCTTGCCAACGGGCCTCCCTACTTCTAGGGACACCTGCTCTGTTTTGTCTTTCACACCTAGAGTGGTATGTTCTTTTGCGAGGGCCAATCT